AGAGCCTCAGCATGTGGTGGGCAAGTGACCTACTACATATTCAGCCCTATGCACTTAAAAAAACATTACACAACAGTTTTTCATCTGGGGATGTAGTTCACCTGCCTCCTAGCATGCATGCAGCCCTGGGTTCAATCCCCAGCATGGAATAAGCCTGGGTGTGATAGTGAATACCTGTAATCCCAGCACTCTACAGGCAGAAGATACATAGTGAATTTGAGGCCAGCCTGAGCTACATGAAACTCTGCGTCTAAAAGAAAAATATATACAGCTTTGAATGAATTATGCTAAATTTCTCCTATGCATCTCTTTTTTCTTCTTTTGAGACAGTTTCATGTAGCTCAGGCTGTCATTGAATTCCTGAGCCTCCTGCCTCTGTCTCCGTGTTTGGCTACTATGTAGTTTTTTGTTTTGCTTTTTTAAATATGTATGAGTGGTTGTCTGCATGTATGTAAGTACCCCATGTATGTGCCTAGTGCCCTGGAAAACTTCCAGAAGGGGGCATCAGAACTCTGGAACTGGAGTTAATGATGGTTGTTAGCTGACATTCCTAGCTGGGTGCTAGGAATGGAACCCAGGTCCTCAGCAAAAGCAGCCAGTGCTTTTAACTGCTGAGCCATCTCTCTAGCCCTTACAGTATACTTTTTAAAAATAGGTTCCCACTTTGTACCCCCAGTTGGCCAGGAATGCACTATATAGACCTTGAACTTCCAGTGAGCTGTCTGCTTCTGCCTCCAGAGTGTGGACCACCACACCCAGCTACTATGTACTTTTATTTTTTTCTGTCTTTTTGAAGCAGGATCTCCTTGTAGCCCCAGCTGTCCTGGAACTCACTATGTAGACCAGGCTGGCCTTGAACTCACAGAGATCCACCTACCTCTGCCTCTCAAGTGTTGGGACTACAGGCGTGCACCACCACACCCGGCTTACTATGTACTTTTTTAAAACAGGAACTCCCTATGTAGGCAGGCTAGCCTCACTCCTACAGAGATCCACCTGCCTCTGCCTCCTGAGTACTGGGATTAAAGGCATGTGCCACCATACCTGGATACTACATCTTTTTTAAAAATATTTTTCATTATTTTTAGTTTATGTGTATGCATGTATTGCCTGCATGTAAGTAAGTGCACCCATGTTGTGCCTTGTCCATGGAAGTCAGAAGAGGGCATCAGATCCCCTGGAACTGGAGTTACAGACGATTGTTAGCCATCATGCGGGTATTGGGAATTGAACCTGGGTCCTCTGCAAGAGCAGCCAGTGCTCTTAACTGCTGATCCATCTCTCCAGCCCCTACTATGTACTTCTTAATAGCTATGTCATAACTGCTTCTCAAGAGTAAGTTTGTAGCTGGACCTGGTGGTGAGTTCCAGCTTGGGTCTTACATGACGGAACCACCTGGGTGAGCAGGCAAAACACTCATAAACATTTAAAAATTAAAAATAAGGGACTAGAGAGATGCCTCAGTGGTTAAGAACACTTGCTGTTCTTCCAGAGAACCCAGTTTCAATTCCCAGCACTCACATGGCTTTCAGTAACTCCTGTTCCAGGGGATCCAACACCCTCTCTGGTCTCCCAGCTTTTCAAGACATGGGTGCACTTACATACATGTAGGCAAAACACCCATATACATAAAAAAATAAAATATTAAAAATAGCCAGGCGTGGTGGCACACACCTTTAATCCCAGCACTGGAGAGGCAGAGGCAGTGGATCTCTGTGAGTTCGAGGTCAGCCTGGTCTACACAGTGAGTTCCAGGCCAGCTGGGGCTACTGGGAGACCCTGTCTCAAAAAGAACAAATTAATAATAATAATAATAATAATAATAATAATAAAATATTAAAACTAAATAAAAATAATTAACTTTTTAATTAAAAAAATTTAATGTGAGTTTATAGCTGGGAGCCTTAACATGCACATGTTATCCCAGTTCTTAGAGGGCTGAGACAGGATGTTTTCAAGTTTGCAGCCAGCTTGGACTAACTACATAGGGAGACCCTGGCTTATGAAAAAGGAGGTGGGGCCTGGAGATGTAGCTCAGTCCTAGAGCATTTGCCTGACATCAGTAAGGCCCTAGATTCAAATCTCAGTACTATCCATAAAAGAAAAAGTTTGGGGCTAGAGAGATGCCTCAGAGGTTAAGAACACTGGTTGTTCAGCACCCACACGGCAGCTAACAACTGTCCGTAACTCCAGTCCCAGGGCATCTGACAGCCTCTTCTGACCTCCAGGGGCATTGGACAACCCCGGGTGCACTTACCTGAATGCAGGCAATACACGCATTCAAATAAGGTTTAAAAAAAATTTTTTTTTAAGTTTAAATTTTAAAAAAGTTTGTTTCTGTTTCTTCTGATTTCTGAAACATTTTTCTTGGGGGCGGGGTTGTGTGTGTCTTTGAAAAGTAATGGTGTGGGTAATTCATTGAGAGGATGGAAAGAGCCCAAGAAAATTTTCTTATGGAATTGAAAGAAACATATAAAGTATTAATGTTTTAGAATCAAGGGGTTTGGAGCTTTTCTCAGACCAAGAATTACAAAGTTGTGAGGCTGAGGTAATTTTATGGAAGGAAGGAAGGGGAAGAGGAAAGAGGGAGGGACTGAGGGACGGATGGAGGGAGCAATAGATAACAGAGAGGCTAAGAGTTTAGAAAAGGCCATTTGCCCCTTCGCAACAGGGAAGGCGATGAGGAACCGAAAGGCCGCAGGGACCGAGGGCAGAAACCGTTACCCAAAGGGATGGGTGGTGGGCGTGGATTTCGTGGTACAAACACACTGTGCAGAGTTTCAGGTCATGGGCACCTAGAGGCGTCTGTGTTTGCATCTTTTCCTACCAAACGACGCAGGCCAAGAGTATACACAGCAGCAGGAGCAGGCTGCACGCGGGATGCAGCACAGACCCTGCATCCCTGAGGCCCAGGGCGCCTAGCGCGCACGTGGCTCCGGCTCTGCCTTCCAGCGGTAGGAAGAGGCCGTGGGGGAGGGGCGGATTTGGAGGGTAGAACGTCAGCCTTCTCAGGAAAATTCACGTACCGCTTTGGCTTACCTCCCTCCTCCCCTTTCCCGTCTGCCCAATCAGAATTGTGTTTGTTTAGACTCCAACCCCCCTCTTTCAGATCGGCCGCTCCCTGTTGTCCGCCATGAATCCAGAAGCCCGTCTGCAGCCTGCATCTGGTTGGTAGGATTTGCAAGGATGCCCCAGGAGTCAGAGGATGTCGTTAAGAGGGGCTGTGAGTGTGTGGGAAGGGGGAAAAGCTGGGAAGAAAAGCTGCCGCCCAAGGTCTCTGCCGTGAGAATTGAGCCTGGAATAACCCCAAGGACATAGTTTCATCCATTATGCTAGAACATCAGAAAGGGCTTAAGTCCAGTAGAACACATTTGGACCATCCTGCAGCTAACAGAGCCTTTGCTTTGGTCAAAGACAACATGACAATTTACATTTATCTTCTCTATTCTTAGTGAGTAAGAATTTTACAGATGAAAGAAACAGAGACTCCAGATTTGTCTTTCCATTTCATTATATATATATATATGTGTGTGTATGAGTGTATTGCCTACATGTATGTAAGTGTGCCCATGCCCTGCCATACCTGTGGAGGTCAGAAGAGGGCATGGGGTTCCCCTGGAACTGGAGTTATGGATGGTTGGTGCTGAGAATTGAACCCAAGTCCTCTGCAAGAGCAGCCAGTGCTCTTAACTGCTGAGCCATCTCTCTATGCCCCCCCTTTAAAAATTTTTTTAATTTCTATTTTATGTGTGTGAGTGTTTTGCCATATCTCCAGCCCCTCAATGTTACTTTTTAAGACAGACTCTTGCAGGACTGGAGAGATGCTCAGTAGTTAAGAGCACTGATTGCTTTTGCAGAGGATCCAGGTTCGATTCCCAGCACTCACACAGCAGCTAACAACCTTTCGTAACTCCAGTTCCAAGGGATTCAATGCCCTCTTCTAACCTCCGCATTGCATGGGTACACTTACATACATACAGGCAATTCACTCATACACATTAAATTAAAATAATAAAATAAAATATCTTTTTAAAAATGATACTTGTTGCCGGGCGTTGTGGGTGACC